ATAAACAAGCATGCATCCGAGCAATAATCCGCGCGATTACCTCTGCGCATGAGCAAAGCGAGCATAAACGCACGCTCTTTAAAAAAAAAGCCTTCATCAAAGGATTAAAGTTCAGTGGAAGAATAAATTTTAATTTTTCACTCGACGTACTTTGGTTGGAGAGACGTCACTAACGAGATAATAAATTGTAGAGATGCGATGTGATTACTCAACTATTATAAGATGGGGATTGTTTGGGTAGTGAGGATAGATGTGATGATTAATGGGGGCATCATTTTTATTCGTGCATTTGTAGCAAGAGTTAACTCATCGTATACCTATGATGATCATACATAGCATTGAAATAAACTATTCTCAACCAGAAATATTCCTATGTTCAACAAAACATGAATGTATAAAACTCGAAATGAAATGCAACATTATCCGACAAGAATCACGTGCATTTAATAGAGAATGGTTTAAAGTAACGTGTCTACGGCGCACGTGTGGCCGCCGCTAAAACGCGCACTAATTTTAACTCTGAAACGAAACAAAATAGAAAAAGTCACGCTTTTAGCGAGAGAGCTCCCCGTTACAGTACACGATACGGGGACGATACGACCACGATGCGAGGAGAACGAATTGTGACCTCGGAATTTTTACAATGAAATGGATTCTTCTGGCATGCGGAACTCATTGCATTGTTGTGTAGAGTATTCATAAAGTTCGGCTTTTGATGGAGAATTATGCATGAAACGTGTGGCTTTGTTTTGAATTACAATAATTTGATCCGAGTGTCGGCGGGAGAGAGTAATGGCTGATGATTCTAATTCTATTTCATAATCTGTCGGAACGTGTTTCGGTTTAGAGTTAAGCGAATCGTACAAATGTAACAATATCATTTGTTCCTTTTTATTTAAATATACAGAATGTATTACATGTTTTTACAAATCCTTGAGTTGTATAAGCTAGATACATTAATTAATTCAAACGCTTTGTAAAAGGTTCTCTCAGTAAACAATTGAACATTATAATTAGACCGTTATGTAACCGTATTGTCTATGGATACTCGTACACAAAGGTACGGCTAAAATTATGAAATTCAAGTAAATATTGACCTTTAACTGAAAATACGATTGTCTAGAGCTTGTCTTAACAAATAAGGATAAAACAACAACAAGTACTTTATCAACGTTGGAACAAACAATACTTCGAACTTGGAACTAAGAAATTATTTGAAAGTTCTAAACAATGTGGTGTCGTGTGATATAAAACTAAGTATTGGACTCGCTAATAGCAGGGGACGGACAGACGGACACTGGAGTACAGTGTTGTGTCAGTGGGAGATAGACAAACAAACTCACGGGAACTACTACAAAACATTGACTTTTTTCATCGAATGTCTTATACAGGTGGATGGTGTTTGTGTACGACGGTAACAATGTCAACAAAGTAGTCCTTTTTTTGCGTTTTAGAGCTAGTGAAGTCAAGTCAAAACTCAAAATCATTTATTTCAATTAGACCAGGAAGGTACCTTTGAAGGAAAACAAATAAATCAAAGTGAAGCTATTTGCTTATTTCAAGGTGTAGATTCATATGGAGAAAAATAAGCAAGAAACTCCATAGATTACTCTTTTTCAATCAGGGTCACAATATAATTCTCTAATTACATAGTTTTGTAGGTTCAATTGTGCGAGAACAGTATATCACCAAAATTCAGTCGAAGAGATCGAGAGCAATTATTACTAAAGAACGCCTAAGATATAACACCGGATCTCAATTTAATCCATAAACAAAACCAACTTCAACACGATATAAATAAGAACTGTTCCGATGTCTATGTAAAACTATTCATGCATTGGAAAACGTAATATACAGGGTAATATATTAGGCAGGCTGCCGTAGTAATGTAACACAGGAGCCTCGTATAATTCAGAACAATATTTTCATGACTGTATGTATGTCTGTAACAATATATAGATACAAACACATTCTTATCTAATACATTACTAAATTTGTTGACTGAAGTTGCTTTTGATTACTGAATAATTCAGACAATTTGATTCAAAGTAGACTTAGTTTTATTTGGGTTGTTTCGTACAGGTAGTTTAGTTTTTGTCTTCTTTTACATGGAAAAATTACAGTAAATATACAAAGCAAAAAAATGAGCAAATTGTCACAAGACAGTTGTAACTGTTACACAAATTAAAACAAAAGTTTACTCATTACAGTAAATGGGTCGCAGTGATAATTTTCAGGCTTGCACTATTGTACTGAAACACTGAAACTGAGACAATACGAATCTGTTAGCATAACACGCAAGAAACAACCGGGACGTGAATCTGGGACTCAGAATATTGTGATAATAATTTATAGTTATTTAGAAACCGCATCTTGTATGTAAGATTATGAGTGACAATTGTAGTAATTGTATGGCAATATTATAAGGAGTTTGGTCTTCATGGCAATTATAAGATATTATATATTATACTAGAATATCATTATAGTTACAGCGGGGCACAAAAATTAACGAGTTCTTTTTATGACACTAAAACAACAGCAAGTTTATGATCCCGATCCAAAGTACTGTCATTAACAGCTGGATCAACGTTTATTGCCATATATGTTAAAATGAAAAATTCAAACAAGATATTGAAATATTGAACATAAATTAATTGCACAGCTGGAGCGCATGAGCCGTGACATCGAAGTAATTAAAGTCAACAGTTTTACTGATATGTGTTGCGGCATACAACAGACCACCACTCACTCCATATTGCAGTTTATACCTGATCTGTTTGTATATAGTTTTTAAACTGTTCTCCTATAACTTACCTGTACACAATAGATTTCAGAATACAAGTTCAGTTAAAGTGATATATTGTTAGAAATCCATCAAACAACGCTCTCACTAAAATGTACAATAAAAACTTCAGAGCGAACTTTTGTCAATAAAGTTATAACTAAAAGCAATATGAAAGTTATATCAAACGGGCTGGAAGTGATTATTATTTCATGTTGTTTATTGGATCTATACACATACAATTTATTGATAAGAAAAATGTATTGTTCTTTTTGCATATTATTCTTTTCTCAAGTAAATAGCTACACAAATGGTAGAATAACTATCCCTGCTTTTATTTCCTAGGTACACAGGCGTGAATATGTAGGTAGTCGTATTTCAGTATCCCCCAAAACCGAACGAGAATCCGAAATACATTAAATCCGAGTAAAATAGTTATAGCCAATTCGTAGCACATGCTACGCGGCTACGCCGCTACGTCGCTACGCCGCTACGGTGCTACGTAACGTTACGATTTACCGACTCGCTGTCGAGGGAGGTATATTAAAATCATGAATATTGTTAGTCATATCAAATCTATAGCTTTATTAGACAAGTTTGTTCAGTAAATGTTAGCATTTCATACGGAATGTGGCTTAGTAGCTTAAAACTTAAACTTGAACCGTATCCAGGACTTAGAATACGCAAGTCTGTAAAGTTTTTAGGGGTACAAAGTTTAATACTGCTTACGATCCAAGTAATATTTGACGAATATTGAACGCCAACGTCACCCGGAAGTAAGTTCGTATTGCGAAATATATATTTTTACTTCATTTAAAGAAAGTCAGTGAAGTGTCCTCTCCTCGGCTGAATACCTCTCGACAATGTCACACCAAGGTTAATGAACATCTCAAAACCAAGATGTAATACTTTTCCTCTCAACATTTTCAGTTTCAGTAATTTTTCATATTGAAACAAAAGCCTCTTTGAAACGGGGTCGAGTGTGCGCCATGAAATTCAGCCCACAATACTGTGGGGGTTGGATTCAGACTCTTTCATCCCCAAGTGTTTCAGTGAGTACATACTTTTTAATTGAATTCAATATTGTCAAACGGTCGAGTTATTGTTAGCGGGATGACATTATTTTAATTGGTAGGTGTTGGACTTTGAATGGCCTTTCAATAGAAGCCTGGAAGCTTGTTAGGTTTTGTTGGCAGGCTATACAGGTTTGAAGTATCAATTTGTTTATAGCGCAGGCTTAGAATTTGTACAATTACTTTCAACATTTTGGTATAATACATGATATTTAACAAACTCTGCGGTAAATTTGAATCCACTTAATTGTACTCCTATAAATGGTTGTTATATTTAATGTTATTACGCATATGAAGTAGTTACATGCACGTAGCCACCGGCAGGCAGAGCTCGCAGCCAGCATACCGGAGCTAGCAACCGTTCCATACGAACACACGTACAGACACATATTATGTGTATCACAAGCATGCCTACATTCTAGCCGAGAGGCTGCACGCCTGAAAACGCTCATCTCACATTTTATGAGCGAAATGTCTTACGAGTCCCTCGCTTAAACTTAGCACTACGGCTTAATACGCGCCATACATTATAACATCTCCGCGACAATACAGTTTCTTATACATTCCACAATTCTCAAAGCTTTCAAAAACTTGAAAGTGTTGACTCGAAGTTGTGTAGAAGCAGTGACGCGGACTCATGTATTGGATTATTCAATATAACGTAGTACTGTGAGCATTATAAATTCTCGCGATCCTCGCGGAGGGATGATTGAGACAGACGCAAACTTCTACAGACACTCACGAAGTTACCTCCTAACACGACCCGAATTTGCAAACAACGGATGCCGCTTTTGAATAATCATTATCATTTTCCGAACAATTAATTTTTTGGCGGCTTTATCGCTTCGCTAATGCCAGTAATTACTTCCAATTAATTTTGCTGTTAACACTATCACAACACTGCCCAAACCAATTCAATTTTGCGTTCGACCATTGCGAGGGACGCTTTTATTTAATAAATAAATTTTTAACCTTCCCTCGGTTTGTTCAAACATTGAATATTTTTGTTACAATTCCGATGTAAATAACACAGTAACGGATAAATGTATGTGACCAAAATAAATGTGCGCAAACACGGATTTATATTATGATCCACATCTACCTGTTCGGATTTTTTATGTGGTAGTTAAGTATCGTCGTTGTACCTGTGAGAATCGTTCCTGAGCATCCAGGATTTCGATGAATAATGACAGCTTCTGATCCATAATGGGAAATCCATTGCGAGGCTGTTGCAGGAGGTGTCGCACCGCCTCGCGCACTGCTGCTGGCGTGCTCGGCGTGCACGGCGTGCCCAGGGTGGGGTACGGGCCCATCAAGGCAGATAGCCCGTGGAAGGTAGCCGAGGTTTTTGGAGGGTTCTGTACACCACCGGGTAAAGATAAACGGCGCGACGTGGACGGCGGCACGGCGCCGTAACCATTTGTCATAATTGCGGGTCTCTGTAACTGATAGTCACTTCGGGAGGACGGCAGTAAGGTCGCGCGCGGCAGCGTGGACATGGTGCCAGGCATGGGCCGCGGACGGCGCGGTACCGGCTGCAGCAGCGGCACCGGGCCCCACTCATCGTCCACCGAGCCTATGGAGTGTGGTCTCCGCGCCAAGTGGTTCACTGGGGGTCTCGGAGAGACAACACTCTGAGGTCGTCGTGGACGCCGGTCGTTTTGAATCGGATTCGGCGGCGTGTACGGACTAAAGCCATCGAAGTCTTTAAGTTGTGCCGGCGTGGGTCGCTGCGTGTCGGGTGCAGGCGGTGGCGGGTCCTCCCAGCGAGGCCAGGCGAGCGCTAGAGAGTCGGGCTTGCGGGGCGGCGGAGGCCTGGGCCGAGCCGCCCCCTCGGTCATGGCGGCCTGTCCCGGCAGCGCGTCACATGGCGCGGCGTGCGTCGCGCGCGGCGTCCGCCGGTCGACTGGCGTCGCGACGCTGCATCCGTCCCGTCTCTGCATCGACGCACTCTGTGTTTTGGTTTGTGGACGATTTTTTTCACGACACTCGTTTGTTTTGGACGTGCGTGAGTTACGTGTGTATTGGTATTTGTAACGAATTCGACGCTGAAGTTATTTATTGGTTTGGAAAACGCTGCGACACTGAAAAATCAGTAGAGGGTGAAATACATTTTTTAAAATACAGAAAACTGTTGGTTGGAAACGGAATTGATAGCGCTAACCAAATTGTTATGTAGTTGGTATGTATTGCTAACTCTTTGTATAATAATAATTAGCGTTTCATTTATTTTGTTGATTTCTCAATCATTTCGTAATTTATTACGACGTGTAGCTGCCGGCACACTTACACTTTTGTTATTTTTCTAATTCATTCTTCTGTCATTTTTGTGGCTCATATACAATAAACGACTAACAGATGTATAACCAACCACATAGTCATGTTCCTAGATCTTACCGATTCTAGTTCAAAACGACAAACATTTGTACTGTACTTTTACGAATTAGTTATAAAGAAGTCATTGATGGTGTTAACGACAGAATTATTAACCATTTTTTTTTTATTTTATGTAATGTTTTATAGAAAATAACAAATCTAGGTAAATGCGCAATATTACCACATGAATTGGGTGTTTCTCTGATTGTAAAGTTAGGTACAACAATGACAGCACGTGTCTCAACCCCCGGCTGCAGCGGCCGGTCTATAGTGCCCGCAGCGGGGGCCATTCTGAAATATCGCCACATCCGCGCCCCGGCCGCGCCCGCCTGTATCGCGCTGTACTAAACCTATGATTTACAGCTCCGACATTATACGAGTACCTGTTCACGCGCTATTAAAGGTCTCTGTAAAAACGTGTTTACGAGGGAAGATGGATTAATGTAATAAATATAAAATATATCTCTTTTATTTAGTAATCATAATATGAATACGTAATTCCTGGTAAGTCTGTATCAAGTTATCGAAATTCATACCGTAATATGGGAAACAATACACTTAATTGTTTGTGAATAATGGGCAAGAACACAATGATGGTATTTAATTAAAGTATACAACACAATACAGTGGCAGGACAACACACAGTACGAGACCAGCAACGTCTCAACTACATCCTAATAATCTTAAGTACAGACCACGTCCAGACTGAGAGAATATGATAAATTGCTGGACTCGAGTGGATGCAACGAACTCCGTAGCTTATAATGCATCTCAAGTGCTGTTATTTCAGTGCACAACCAACCGATACTCATTTTTAAGGGTCGTTTTATAAATAGGTGCGCATTCAAAGGGTTATTTATAAAGCGTATTACACACGATCGGGAATTGATCGGCGGCTTACTTACAATCTTGAAGTGTGTTTCGAATCGTAATGAAGTTTGTGGAAGTTTAATGCAATGTTTATGTAATTTATTAATGCTTCGATCTAGCGTTGCGAATGTCAGTACTAAGCCGAATTTGTTCGATAGTCTTTCTCGATTCAGACAAAGATTGTTTGATCTTTTATAGAGAATATGGTTTAGTAAACAATGTGTTCTCAGCATTTATGTGAATATTAATACATGTTATTTAACACAATGTTGTTGTTTACACACATTATGAAAGTTTACACAACATATGTACATACATACACAAGCAGATTGTTTTATGGTTGCAAATTAAAATAACGCGGTACACCGTGAAGAAAACAGATACAAACATAAATAATGAGACTCAGTTCTTGGTACACACAACTACATATCGAGTAGTAGAAGTACCCAGTTTATCTTGGTCTCGCTTTGTATGATCTCTACGCATATTCGACGGTCAGCTTATACTGGTTTTGCTTAGCTTAATGTGTCCGTGTGCCATTACGTGCACGATTATATAACGAGCGTATATGAGGAAGAGAGTGAACACACACACAGTAACAGTACAGAAACTGTCTCTGTATGGGATTAGCTACGAATAAGTACACATGCACATCAAAGTACTACAAAACTGTAAAGTTCCTTCAATGCATTTTGTACCTTATTACAAAAGTTTATGGTTAATTATGATTATCAAATTGTAATACAGATACCCGGTATCTAGATGGGCTGTTGTCTTCACATACGTTCCAGGAAATATTCTCCGAAGCAATCGCACCTTCAAATGTAGCAAAAATCTCTTTTCATTATTTTTCTTTAACGAAAACGACGCGAAACGTTTAAAAGAGAATATTTAAAGACGTTCGCTGTTGAAATATTAAATTGTGATTGTATGGAGTGGAACCTCTGCATAGTATTGCAAATTGGTGCTCAGAGATAGAATGTTTCATGATTCTAAACTAGGAGAATAGTACAGTGGCCAGCGTATGAAGCTACCTCAATCTGTCAAATTTATTCATTAGATTTTCGACTTTGTATCAACACAATAAAGTTGAAGATGTAATAGAGATATTTGACAGAAATGGGTGGTTAACCTGCAGGCCACCGTACATTTGAGGCAAATCGAAGGCTCTGTAACTACGAAATAAACAGACTATACACAATCTGAAGCGTACAGTAAGCAAGGATTGACGCTAAAGCCACGTAACGTGCTCTGCAATCACCCTGTAGATACATGAATAGAGTGTGGATCACCCTGTATCGTTAGCACTCACGCTATGGCCGATTTCGTGACACTTGAATGTGACTTCAGTGCACCTTCAACATTAATGAACCTTGTCGCAACTACGTAAGCTCTAAATTGTTCATAGTTTTCAGTGTACAGTCAAATTGTACACTTTAATAATGACTGTCATATGAGTAATCCCGTTACGCCTGTACCTTCATCAAGGTAAGCTATAATGAACGTTATTAATATTATAATAATAATCATTATTGCATAATGCTGACGTCACGGTATAAAATCTACTGCCGTAACAATAAAACAATTGAATACTGCTGTAAAACAGTTTATCTTTATTAGAATTTTAACTGAAAATCTTGAAAGTGTTATTTACCGGTATAAGTGTTTGTAAACATAGTCGCCAGGAACAGGGACTTCACAAGAGGTGATTCAAAATAAAATTACGATCGATCGTTCCAGGTTCATAACCCGAGCAGCGCTAGTTTATGGGATGTATAAATTAATGGCTTTAAAGTACACTCTTTACGAGTTCTTTGAGCTTCAAGCGATGGTGTTCAAACTGTTCAGTAATAAACGATGATCAAGGAATCAATGAATTTACTACAAATTATATTTTTTACTTCTACTCGAGTAGGCTCGCAATTTCAGAAGCACCCAAAAAGCCTATTGGGGCTAAGCTCTATATTTTCATATATTTTATTAAACATCCCGGGGATAAACACAGCATCCATATCCCTTACCACGTCCTAAGTAAAAAAAGTCTCAAAGAAAATCCCTTTTTAATCCAGCCATAAACAAAATCAAGGGAGGAAAGGGATTCTCGAGATCAAAGGGCATCTAAGCAAAAATGCTTCGGTTCCGTATATATTCGTAATTCCTTAATACCATATTAGGAATGCGTGAGACGCAATTTTCATATGAAACTATAAATCAATTTGTGTTCCAGAAAAGGGATAATCGGCCCACTGGGCAGAATTCCTGGCTCTGCTAGGGCTGGGGAACAACGGGGAACTTTCCACTTATTTATCGATACTTTTGAGGGCAGAAATTTTTAATATTCCAACTTGAGAGGAAATGTTTACGAAAGTAGAATAATTGCGATCGAGTGCTGGGGAGCGGTTCTTGTGTTTTTTGTTCCTTCCTTATAAAACGTTTTATAAATGACATAACTTATTTGTAGTTGTTAAATATTTTGTACGTGAACGTTTTATGGATAAAGTTTTAGCTGAGAACTAAAATTTAATATCACTTCTTAAACTCCAAGTCGATTACGAAGGTAGTCTTTGAAAAGGTTCTAAAGTTTTTAACTTACAACTTTATTATTTACTTTGACTTGAGCACAGCATTTTATTTATTAATAAATAAAAACTTGTGAAAGTAAAATTAGAGAGGCGATGGTTTGTAAAATTAATATTCTTTTAAAACACTATTTTGGAACATAAAACCTGAGAAAAGGGCACTCAAACATAAACAAACTATAGTTTAAACTCCAATTTTATGTTTATAGTATAACACTAGCTGTGCCCGCGACTTCGTTCGCGTAGAATAGTGACTATGAGCAGCGTTTTTTTTTTAAATATATACTTATTTTTATTTTAGATTTGGATCATAATCACAGTCATTTTGGGTAGCTAAAAACCTACTTTACTGTAATGCTTCTCTATATACAATATTAGACGTATGGCCATCGGGGGTGAAAGCATACAGGCTGCTGGGATTGCTAACACGGGACAGAGCCACATACAATTGACCGTGCGAAAAACAGCTGATACTTAGATCTATACCCACAACTTTTAGAGTCTGACCTTGAGCTTTATTAATTGTCATGGCGAAACATAGGCTCACTGGAAACTGAATTCGTTTAAAATTAAACGGAAAATTTTTTGCAATGAGAGAAATCTGAGGAATAAAACCACTATCACCTTTTCCGCACCCTGTTAAATATATATATATTTATAAGCCATTTCTGAGATTAGCGTGAACAGACAAACAGACAAACAGACAAAAAAAAAGTTAGTTACATTTTTGGGTTCGACATCGACATAACAATAGCCCCTGCTATTTTTTTTATTTCTATTTTCAATGTACAGACAGCACTTTTCTACAATTTTATTATATGTATAGATAAGACGGTAATGACGTCACTAGCCTAGTCCCGCGGCCCGTCGCCCCTCGTATCACCGTCAACTGTCGCAGCCGATGTCTCGAACTATTCCCGGAATGTGTGACGACACGAACGATTGTTTCGACGCCGCGCTCCTACAACTATTGTATTTATTTAACACAACCTATATATTGTTACATGTTCGTGATTTTAGTGCGGAATGTTTAATTTGGCAATTGTGGTATGTTGAGTTAGTGTACACTACAGTACACGACATACTATTACGATTGCTTGTATTATGGGTTG